TAGAAAGGCAGAAGAAGAATTTACATAAATGTATTGTAAAATTTATTATAAACCTATATCACTTTAAAACAATCTGTCATCTCCTTTTGTGTCCTTAAGGCTCCAGTCTTCTGCCCAGAGAAGTTACGTATCTTACACAGAAGTAGGATCTGTGCTGCTTTTCAAACCACTAGCTAATTGTTAATTTGAACGAAAACGAGTGGCCTAGACCCGTACTCTAGTACCCGGTGAGGGCGAGGGTCGTGGGGGGGGGGAGAGAAAAGGAGGTGGGGGAGACTGGTGTCCACCAGAATAAGAGCTCCTGTGCTGTTAAAATCTAGTGCTCAGAGACGAGTGTTGGGTGCGAGTGAAAAGAGATTGTGGGTGGGGGAGGGGGAGGAGGGGTGGGTGGGTAGGGTGGCTGGTGTCCACATCTTTATTTTGAAGCCGGGCCGGCCACGACAACTACTCATCTTTAATTCACCATAGAGGATGTTCTTCGGGACTGTACCTCTTCTCCATTCTCAAGTTTGACTCAGCCATCTGAGCCTTCAGACAATGAGCATTGAGAAGACTGTTGTAGTATCTGCTCTTTCCAATACCTCAGTGTTTGCCATTTAATGCCAAGTATTATTCTTAGGCATCGCATGTGAAAGCTATTTAGCCGTTTCTCCTGGTGCGAATAAGTTGACCAAGTTTCACTGCCATAAAGCAGAGTGCTGAGAACACAAGTCTGATAGACAAGATTGTTTGCTTTAATCGTTAGCTCTGTGTTCTCCTAAACTCTTTTTATTAATTTGTTCATTGTTGTTGCTGCCTTACCTATCCTGATGTTGATTTCTTGGTCCAGCGATACTTTGTTAATCACTGTGGAACCCAGAGAGATAAAATGGTCACCTGTCTCCAGCTCTTCACCGTCAATGCAGACGGCATGCATTTCATTAACACCTTGCACTATAACCTTTGTCTTCTTGTTCCTGATTGTTAGTCCAAATTCACAGCATGCATGAGTAAATGTAGATAGTTAAAAACTGCAACTCCTCTTCTGAGTGCGTGGTAACTGCTGCATCATCTTCAAACAGGAGCTCTCTGATAAGTATCTTTTATATCCTGGTTTTGGCTTCAGCCTACGAGCATTGCAAAGGCTGCCGTCAGACCCTCTCGATCTCTAAAAGCATATTCCAATAGAATTGAGAAGTATACTCAAAAGAGGGAAGGAGCGAGTACACATACCTGCTTAACTCTATTGTTGATTACAAACTCCTCTGATGTTACACAGTCGAAAGTTGATTGTACCTTTCATACTAATGTGGAACGACAATAATGTTCAGTAGGCTAGGTGAAACTAAATCTTCTGGAGCGTATTGAACTGACCTTTTCGGCTAACCAAATCAAATGCCTTGTAAAGACCAATAATAGCAATATACAGTGGCTGAATTTGTTCAGGACACCTTTCCTGCAACTGTGGTAATGAGAATATCGTAACAGGGTCAGACCAGTTCCTACGAAGGCCAGACTGTGACTTAGGGCAAACCCGGTAGCCTAGGATCTGGAGTCTTCAGGAAACACAGAATAACAAATATAAGTAGTCCTCGAACTGGATAAACAATATATATCCCAGTTATAACCTTGAGGGTTGAACAGAATGTTTTTCTAAAAATTACAGCTGCTACTACTTCAGAGCAAGGATCCACACCTTGAAAGATTAATTTAGCAGGGACCACCAGGGGTTCTGGCCAATTTACAATAGAGATTTAAAAAAAGGGAAAGTGGGGGGGGGGGGGGGGGGGGGCTTGGTTGCTTAGGTGGAATTTATTCAGGTTGTAACTTGTACTGTTAGCATCTCGACTCCTGATCAGCTACTAAGGAAGAAGACGGAGCACGTGTGAGGACTCCTGAGTACAGTGATGCAGCTAGGGCTGCGTTAGCGCAGTCGATAGGAGGCTCGCTTTCAAATCCAGCTGCGACTCGCTGCAGCCACGGTCGGTGTTCGAAACCGGACGGTTCCCGAGGTTCACCTAGCCTCTAGGAAATGGGTACCAGAGTTGATACTCTGGGGTAAATGGAGGAACGTCGCTGTAGCTACAGAGTTACGTGCGGAAGGCGACACAGGCGGACAATTCTTATCAGCTGTCCGTACTGGTGGCAGAGCACTTATGGTTTATAACCGCGTGAAATGACGCTGGTTCACATCTCCCGACTTTACATTTTTTTCCCCACCAACGACTGTATTCAGTTCAATATAACCCCTTGATGCGTTTCTGCGGGACTGCCGTGTTTTTGGCAGAACTACATCCGGGGTCTTGGCAGCCATATTGTGGTGTTTTCCTGAGATATTAGGAGGTAGAAATACAAGAATAAGATACCCTGATATCTAGCGTCTACGGTAGATGCATTCATTGATGTTTTATCATGTATGGGTTAACCGTAGAACCGGTTGTCAAGCTTCAAGACTTTACCGAATAAATCTGCATAAACTGTTTTGGATTTTATGTTACCATTGACTGGATCCTCTTGAAGAGTTCTGTTATTGTTTTGGCTTGGAAAGAAAGGTTCGATCCCCCTCCCTTTGTTGCTCTTGTATTTAAGTTGTGCAACGTCAGGACAGCTAGATAACTTCACTCACACCTACAGCAGGTAGGCTTGGTTCTGGTCGCATTTTGTAAACACTATTGTTATTGTTACTTTCCCTCAAACGTTTTCTTTCCCAACGGCAGAAAGAAACATCTGAAACGAAGTAAACTAATATTATTGAACCGAATTGTGCGAATTGTGTGCCACTGTGCTTGAATTCTGAGAATTCTCATATTGATTTTTAATTTTTTATCTGATTCCTTTATAATATTTTTTCAGCAGTATGTATAGTATTGTATACTGTTACCACTTGACTTAGAATTAACATTAACACTCACTTCAGACTTCAGATATCAAACTTGAATAAATTGTGAAAAATGATGACTGGTGATACTGAGACTGAATGATTGGTATATTGTAAAAATTCAAGAAAAGATGCATAGACCAAGATAATTGAAAATATATTATTATAATATACATGGTTTGGCATTCATTGATGGCGACCTTAGGGGGCACTACTTGTCTTCACAGTCTGTTGTAATTGTAATTTAACATTCATAACTGTAAGTGCCATTGCTAGGGGACCTAATATTTTGTTTGTGTAAGTTCACATAATAATAATTTTCTTTTATATTTAATACTGTCTGATGTAACCCAAACCTTAATGTGAAATGTTACTACATAACATTCAGCTCTCCTCCGAACGGCATCATAATATTATGGCGGCCATAAAATTACCAAAAAATATCCGAACGGGGCTCAGGCATATCTAAAATACGGACTTTCTGCCAAGGAACAAATCGCGGCAAAACTAGGATTACTTGACAATATCAACATTGCACACGGTAGTAGCAGACGATAAATACCGACCATTGACAATTTTAAGCGTTTTTGCAGACGATACTAGCAGACTATATTAGTGACCGTTGACAATTTTGAGCGTTTCTGCAGACAATACTAGCAGACGATATTAGTGACCGTTAACATTTTCGAGACATTACAGACGATGAAAACGATATGGCGGGTAGACCACGTGCTCCCACGCAGATTAGCAATACTGTTCGTCCGATTGAGGATTTAGCAGCGGTAGATGTCAGACCTGCCTACCTGTATCCTCACATTTTTCGGCATGCGCGATTTATCTTACCGCCGAGCGTATCACCTGCGCGTAGCGGCGAGGATGGGGGGCAAAACTAGGTGCCTGGGACTCACGAGCAAATTAGTTGGAGGAAGTTGCAGGAGATGCGTTAGCTGCTGCTCGTGAGTCCGTGCGTAGTGGCGCGGGGGATACGCTCAGCGGTGAGGCACAGTCACAGAAACAGGTCCGCAAGTAACATATCGCTAAGACCCTGTTAGAGCATTTGTTTGGTTATATGGAGCTCACATATTTTTAAAAGAACTGAAGCCCCGTTTAGATATTTTTGGATATTTTATGGCCGCCATAATATTATAACGCTGTTTGGAGGAGAGCCGAACATTCTTATGTGAACGTACACAAACTATGGACTGTTCCTTATAGTTGCCGTAAACAAATAGACTGTGTCCCCTAGGGTCACTGTTGCACGAGTGCCCATGGTTTTTTCACTATAGTCTAAACTTTCTGATCACAAGGGAAGATACTAGAGAAGACACCTTTACCATTGGTAGGCAGGTATGAATGAATGCATGAATTGTGTACAAAATCATTTTGTAAAAATGGACAGTCAAGACTGCTAACTATTACTACTCCTTAACTACTACTACTTAACTACTACTACTTTACTTATGCTTAACTACTACTACTTAATAACTACTACCTAACAACTACTTAACTACTGCTTCTACAGTCTACACACTTATGAAGTTAATTTTCCCTGTTGTAAAACTACTGAAGAAAGACTGCACCGTTTGTTTCTTTATATACCACATGACATCAGCTACGAGGTTGGGTTGGGAATGCTTAGTTATTCATAGCGGTTTCCTTGGACAGTACCATATTATGGGGGGGGGGATTTAAAGCTAGTGTTAAATGAATAGCGACTACTACTAAGCCTAAGCCCCCTCTAACTATGGTACGTTCTGGGAATTTCCCTACCAAATCTGGAAGCCAACTTGATGTGGTTGTATACAATTAAAGAACTCACCTGTTTACACCTTCTTAGCTTAGTGTATGAATGTTATAAATTTACAGTACTTTAAATTGGTCTGCAAGAATATCTGGGTATTTTAAATTAGTAATATTGCACATTCACATAAATGACTAAATGAAATTCCACTGAACTCAGAGGAGATAGGGCACACAGAAAGAGAGAGAGAGAAGGGTAAGAGAGAGAGAGAGAGAGAGAGCATGCCAAGTTATTTGCTGATTACTAAACGTGGTTTCAGTATGGGACACAATACCGATAAGTATCTTCATTTGTCCTGGCAGGCTCAAGTTCTCTAGCCGTGTGTAGGCCTGCCCTGCAGACATGCCTTGTTTGTGGCCTTGTGGTTGCTTACAGAGAGCTCATAGCCAGCCATATTTTGGATGGTCTTATGGTTTGGTTATGCTGCTGCTTGTGTTAGCACAAAACTGCTGTAAGTTGTTCATTTCTGTTTTCCTGATGACATTGCTGTCTTTTTTTTAAAAACACAGATGCCAAGTTGCTGAACTGCGTAGCTGATTGGAATGATAGAAACAATGGAATGATAGAAACATTGGAATGATCGAAACATTGGAATGATAGAAACGCAAACAAGGCAGTTATTATCAAGACATGCAAACATGAAACAGATGAGATGAGTGAAGTTACACATAGACAGTCCGTGTGTTTTAGATGTGAAAAGGGATGGATTTGAGAACTTGGTGATGACTGGCAAGATTGGTGGAAAGAGAGAAAGGTGAAGGCAAGAGATAAGTACCTAGAGGGCCTGGTTTAATGGATGGAGCAAGGCATGAACGCTTGTGCAGGAGGCATTAGTATCAAAGTCCTCTTAACCCTGACAGAAACTCAATATTTTTCGGGGGATGTTGTTGTAAAGATTTCCAAACTGTCACTTGTACCATGACTGCAAAGCTGTCCTTTTTCTGCCTAAGGTCAGAAATCAGTGGGTTGTGAAAGACTGGAACTAGGACCTCACATCTCCTTAGTGGCATTATAGGAGTTTGCCAGGGGATGGTTCAACATGACATATATAGAATGGCGGGGATAAGATCTAATGCAGCCACGAGGCAGCACAATGTTATAGACACTGGCAGGGACCGAGTCTAGGTTGGTTATATCTAATGAACAAGAAGGAGCAAAGTGTGCCATTCTAGGCACATTGCTTATGGTACAGTGAATAAGTCGCACGGGCAGATAACTTAGAAATATTTTACAATAGGAAAATCTGCTCACAGCATAGTTGAATAGTTTATTTATCCTTCAAACTGAGGTCAGTGGAAACCAGAAAAAAAGTAAGTAAAGGGAGATTTTTCACCAGGTGGCTCTTTGGACATATTAATATTTTTTTATAGATGCTTGGTTCCAGTTGGGCGGTGTAGTCAGCATCATGCCAGCTGCCTTTATTTCCCAGGACATTTTCTGATACCTATTTTAGTCTGGGTCAACCTGTGAGCCACATTCAGTTTAAAAAAAAAAAATTCTCACTGCAGAATTGACCCTAGCCACTGCCACTGCCCCTTTCATAAGGAAAGTAAGGGTTCATTCAGTAATAAGTTGAATATTTGTTTTTCTGCATGCAGTATGGTTTGATAATAACTTGTATTTTTGTTGTACTTTAGGAGTTGTTGGTTAATTGAAAAAAGTTGAATATTTGTGTTACTGTTAGGGATTAAGGTTTGATAAGTTGTTTGTTGATTAGTGGTAGGGTTAAAATATTAAGTATCATAAAGTTAGGGGGTAAGGTTTGATAAGTTGTGAGTTTATTAGTGGTAGGGTTAAAATATTAAGTATCATACAGTTAGGGGGTAAGGTTTGATAAGTTGTGAGTTTATTAGTGGTAGGGTTAAAATATTAAGTATCATACAGTTAAGGGGTAAGGTTTGATTATAAGTTGCATGTTTGTTGAAATTTAGAGGTGAGAGTTAAAATGTTAAGTAGCATACCGTTAGGGAGCAGGGTTTGATAAGGTCATGTGTGTTGAACTTTAGAGATAAGGGTTAGAATATTGAGTAGCATGCAGTTAGGGAGCATAGTTTGATAAGGTGCAGGTGTTGAACTTTGGAAATAAGGGTTTGAACTTTGGAGATAAAGGTTACAATATTGAGTAGCATACAGTTAGGGAGCATAGTTTGATAAGGTGCAGGTGTTGAACTTTGGAAATAAGGGTTTGAACTTTGGAGATAAAGGTTAGAATATTGAGTAGCATACAGTTAGGGATTAAGGTTTGGTAAATTGTTTGTTGTACTTTAGAAGTAAGGGTTAAATATTAGATATCATACTTTTTTTCACAGGCAAGAGTAAGATTAAAAGCAAAATAAAATATGTTGTTTACTTGTTTTCACTGCAGTTGGTAGAGTCCATAAAGGGTCAGCCATATGTGAGAAGTACGACCGCAAACAGTGTTTGGATGGGACAGGTTCCTGCACGACCACACTTGAAGAATGTGCTAATGTCACCACCGCAAATAATGACCCCTTGGATGAGCCACACAACCACATGCTCTGTTTTGCCACGTGGATTGTGATCAACAACACCGAACAGCAGTTGATCAAAAAAGGATGTTGGATGAACGATAACAAGTGGGTCACTTATTTGTTGCTCTGGTCATGTTTTTTATGATGAAGTGGCTCCTAATTCTTTCTTTCTGTTCTCTAGACCATATTCTGCCCTTTTAGCACAAAGTTTTTAACAAGGTATTTGGTGTGAGCTTTGGTGTTTGCTATGTAGATGCTGCTGTTTGTGGCCTCGGATATTCCATTTATCCATCATCCATCACTGTTGTCTCTTTTTGTGTGTGATTAAGTCATTGATGAATTATTAAAAAGTGTTTGCGTGGGTATTGTGCCTGAGTCAGTGGCATAGTTACTGTCTTGTTATTGTTTTTGAGTCAGTGGCCTAGTTATTGTCTTGTTATTGTGCCTGAGTCAGTGGCATAGTTATTGTCTTGTTATTGTGCATGGGTCATTGTCTTGTTATTGTTTTTGAGTCAGTGGACTAGTTATTGTCTTGATATTGTGCCTGAGTCAGTGGCATAGTTACTGTCTTGTTATTGTTTTTGAGTCAGTGGCCTAGTTATTGTCTTGATATTGTGCCTGAGTCAGTGGCATAGTTACTGTCTTGTTATTGTTTTTGAGTCAGTGGCCTAGTTATTGTCTTGTTATTGTGCCTGAGTCAGTGGCATAGTCATTGTCTTGTTATTGTTTTTGAGTCAGTGGACTAGTTATTGTCTTGATATTGTGCCTGAGTCAGTGGCCTAGTTATTGTCTTGTTATTGTGCCTGAGTCAGTGGCATAGTTATTGTTTTGTTATTGTGCATGGGTCATTGTCATAGTTATTGTCTTGTTCTTGTGCCTGAGTCAGTGGACTAGTTATTGTCTTGTTATTGTGCCTGAGTCAGTGGACTAGTTATTGTCTTGTTATTGTGCCTGAGTCAGTGGCACAGTTATTGTTTTGTTATTGTGCATGGTTCATTGTCATAGTTATTGTCTTGTAATTGTGCCTCGGATATTCCAGTGGACTAGTTATTGTCTTGTTATTGTGCCTGAGTCAGTGGCCTAGTTATTGTCTTGATATTGTGCCTGAGTCAGTGGCCTAGTTATTGTCTTGATATTGTGCCTGAGTCAGTGGCCTAGTTATTGTCTTGTTATTATGCCTGAGTCAGTGGCATAGTTATTGTCTTGTTATTATGCCTGAGTCAGTAGCATAGTTATTGTCTTGTTATTGTGCCTGAGTCAGTGCCATAGTTATTGTCTTGTTATTATGCCTGAGTCAGTAGCATAGTTATTGTCTTGTTATTGTGGCTAAGGCTGTGGCATGGTTCCAACTGTTATCTCGTTGTTTCCTCATTTTCAGTAATATATCCCTTGTCATAATTTTGTAGCTTTCTGTGACATGTTTTTTATTTTATTTTGTTCGTGTAATAGATTTAATTAATTACTGGCTTCTTGCTGTTGTCTTAGTTTTGTGAGTCAGTGAACATTTAGCTGCCTGCATAATCTGATGAAGTAAATGACAAATCTTTTTTCCATTACCTTAGCTAAATGACCCAGATTTTGCAGGTGCTCAATTTATATTCTGCAGATGCTTTTTTTTTTAAGTGCTCTGATGTTATTTTACAGGTGCTATGGACAGAGGGAGTGTGTTGAAGATAAGTACAGCGCACCTGCGTTCTTCTGTTGCTGTGATGGCGATCTCTGCAACAAAGAATACCACCACCGCCCCGCTGGAGACCATCAGGCTGGCAGTAGCCCTAAAGAAGCTAGCAGCTTGCCGGAGCCAGGCGGTGTGGTGCGCCGGTCTGCGGATCAGCAGTTGATGAAGACATTGCTGTACTCTCTTGTTCCAATCATTGGAGGTGGGGTTCTGGTGGTGACCCTGTTCTTCATGTGGCGCAGACATCAGCATCATATGGGTCATATTCAGCTGCCAACAGTGGACCCCAGTCTGGCACCCACTCCCTCCCAGTCTTCCCTGAATTTACAGCTTCTGGAGTTGCGGGCTAGGGGTCGCTATGGATCACTGTGGAAGGCTCAATTGTCTGATCAGTAAGTACCAATTGTTGTTCTTCTTTGCTTCCTCTTTTCCAGCAGCAGGTGCTCAGGGAGATATGAGGTTCTGCTTCCTGCTTTTTTTTGGGCCGCCTCAACAACAGACACATCATGCTTTTGCAGTTTTTCTAATGTTATCTTCTTGGTCTACCTCGTGCTCTGCATCTTTCTCTTCTTTTGGCCGCCTCAACAACAGACACATCATGCTTTTGCAGTTTTTCTAATGTTATCTTCTTGGTCTACCTCGTGCTCTGCATCTTTCTCTTCTTTTGGCCGCCTCAACCACAGACACATCATGCTTTTGCAGTTTTTCTAATGTTATCTTTTTGGTCTACCTCGTGCTCTGCATTTTTCTCTTCTCGTGTATGCCTTAAATGATATGGCGTCACATGGCATACTATCTGCTATTGCTATGATGTTAGTTTCTGTGATGTTTTTACATCATACATTGATATCAGTAGCTGGTTGAGAATCTTAAAATACCACACACAGACAATTTGGGAGGATTTGGATTTGTAAACTAATTCTTGCCATGTCTGCTATAGAGGTTGATTGATGTTAAAATAGATGCAACATTGTTAATGTTTGAAACATCTACTGTGCTGAGGGGAACTGTATTGTGACGTGTGAATTGTATTCTCTGCTGAGTTATGATTTGTGTTATCTTCACGGCACTCCGGACACATCCATAGGTGCTCAGATTCCTCCTTCAGCATATACATCAGCGTCCCGCGCTTGATGGTCCCAGTCCTATGTTGGTTAACAAGCGTCCAGTACGCTTCTCGTGCCTGGCTGTGCCGATCTTCCCTCCCAGTTCCTTCGCTCTTAGCAAAGATGTGGAAGTGTGGCTCCCAAAATCCTCAAAATGTCATACCTCTTTAATGACATTAACAGTGTCGGCATCATCCATGGGCCGGCCTTCTGTAACTAAAGCAGAGCCGGCTAATCTGGTGGCTCTTTCCTTGCCAACAACACCCGCATACCCTGGGACAAAGATGATACGCTGTACCGAGGGGAATAGTGTATTGTGACATGGGAATTGTATTCTCTGTTGTGTATGCTGTGCTATTAGTATTCTTTGTATGTAATCTGTAAGAGGAACTGAGGTCATGTTATGGACAATTCTCTGTGGAATGACAACCATAGTAAATCAGTTGGGGCTGTTGTAAATCATGAATTTATCTTCCAACTAGGGACAGCTGTAAAGATTTGATCACTTCTGAGAATCCAGTGATCCCTAGCGCTCTGAAGCATGTGGCTGTAAAAGTATTTCCCCTGCAGGACAAGCAGTCATGGATGGCTGAGGTTGACATCTACAGACTGTCTCACATGAAGCATGACAATATTCTCCGCTTCATCGCCTCCGAGAGGAAGGAGGAGACACATGTTACCGAGTTTTGGCTGATTACAGAATTTCATGAAAATGGTATGTGTTCTGGTAGCTTATGGGAACTTATATCCTTGTTTATTGTTTAAAATGTCCATGTTTTGCCGCGTCTATTTGAATAATCAAACTGTCATTTTCACCGACTTGAATCAGTCCTCTAGGACAGGACAGCATCATCTACGAAATGAAAAACAATTTCAGCTTGATTTGAACAAGTTCTTTAGTGGAGACTGGTCCACTGTGGTATCCCTGGAAATGAAAAGGTAGACAAGCTTGCAAAGACTGCTGGGAACCTAGTGCAGCACCACCCACCACAGAGATTTCAGAGGCAAAGACACTCTTATACAGTCCATGAAGATAAACTGCAGATAGATGAATAACAGTTACTGACCGGACCATGACAGTATAAACAGGCTTGACGTAAATGCTCAAGCCACAATTTTCAGGCTCTGATTGAACACTGTCAACACAGAGCACACCTACATGGAATGGGTGTTCTGGTGGAAAGATCCTTTCATTTAACTTATTTTTAGAGCTGATAGATTTGGTGTATATGTGAGGTCTCAACAAGATGAGAAAATGGACAGAAAATATTAGCCTGAGAAAAAAAACATGAAGCAGTCCTTTTAGATGAAAAACACAAATTGTTTTGCTGTGGACATGTTACAAGATGAGATCCTTCATTTACATTGAGCCCTCTTGAATGTCATAAGAGGCATCTAAGGAAAGTTGGCTGGTAACTGGCTACCTCTAAAACTGGAATTTCCTATATGTTGGGAGGTATGTTGATCCATGGAACTGTAGTCAGATTAAAAATCAAATCTGTACCTAGACCTTATTAGTCAAAAAAAAAAAAAAAAAAGATTAAAAAAAAAAATGGCCAAAGATAGAAAAACAAAAGAAAAGACTTCAAGTAGTAAGAAATTAAGTAAAACATGAAAGTATGTGTCAGCTTTACAAAACTACTTACATTAAACAATCAGAGGACGATGCCTGCCGTGATTAGCTTCTGTCAGCAGTACAATGACAAGAAACAAATTAACTGGCTGAAATGACTATACTATGGCATTCAAATATTAAGTAAAGAATTAAAACAGAATAATAAACTTCACAATTGTATAAAGTATGTAGTACTTAACCCAGACCATTCTAAATTGTATAAAAGTTCTAAATCACAAAGAGGGTACGCCCTAAGATCTTTGCCAGTTTGCTTGGACAGACTCAGCAGTCCTAACTTACAAGTAAACTGATGTTTCTAATAGGGAAGTTACAAGCCTTAGACTGCACAGTTTACTGTCTGACATACTTTGCTGAATGGAGATAGCAATACACTATATACTGTATGGATAGAACGACTTGGCAGGAGTTGGTTGAGGTTTTTTTTATTTTACATTCATGTTTGGAAAACATTGTTTTAAGTAAATCAATGGTTAAAACAGTTTGTACATGTTTATGTTGATACTTGTGTGTAGGGTCTCTGTCTGATTACCTGAAGAGCCATACAATCACCTGGGCGGAGTTGTGCAAGATTGGGGAGTCCATGACGTGTGGACTGGCTTACCTTCACAATGAAATCCCAGGAACTTATGGATCCATGGCCAACTTGGCCATTGCTCATCGGGACTTTAAGAGCAAGAATGTCCTCCTCAAGCATGACCTCACAGCCTGCATAGCAGATTTTGGACTAGCTCTTAAATTTGAGCCTGGAAAGATGTTTAATGAGACTCATCCACAGGTGTGTAATCGAATTTTGTTGCATTGAATGTGGTGTTATTGCTTTCTTTGTAGAAGTTAAATGTGCAAATATCTTCATTGCATTATTGTATATGTCATAATTGTAGACACTGTTATTGTAATTGTCTTTGGTATAGTTTTCATTGTGGATGTCATATTATTGGTATTTTATTGTAAATGTCTTCACTAAAGTTTTTCTTAATGTCTTCATTGGAGGTGTATTCATTGTAAATGTCTTTACTGTAAATGTCTTTCCTGTGTTCAGACTGTAGCCTACTCTCATGTATGGTGTAAGAAATGACTACAGCGAGGCTGAGGCTAGCTGTGACACCCTGTAGAAGACTGGAGCTGCAGAATCCAGCAGATCAAGATCTGTCTGTCTGTGTCTCTCTCTGACTAGATATACGCATGCTATGCATCCCCCCCCCCCCCACACACACACACAAAGATACATGCATGAATGCACACACAAACCCACATGGACACAATAAAAACCAGATAAATTGAAATACTTAATGCAAGGACTCGACATGTAGGTTTCAAGATTCAAATGAGAATATGGCAGGCAAGGTCACTGTTGATGCGTCTATTCTTAGGTTGGCACCCGCCGATACATGGCCCCGGAAGTTCTGGAAGGAGCCATCTGCTTCAGCCTGGATTCCTTCTTGCGTATTGATATGTATGCATGTGGTTTGGTCCTCTGGGAGATGATGACCCGGTGCACAGCTGTTAATGGTGGGTACCACATTTTTCTGTAATAATTATGAACCTAGTAAACTTCTTCTTCTCTTCCACCATTTACCTCAGCGAGGTGTTGGGGGAAGATATAAGGATCGTTTGTGTGCTTTTTCCAGTGCATTGTAGAGATTGGTGTTCATTTCTGTTAGGTTGCTCCTGATGATGTCGCTCCATCTCTTGTGGGGTCTTTCCCTTGCTCTGTGTTCAATATATTTCTTCAGTGTGGCTCTCTGTGGCAGTTGGTACCAGGGCATTCTCGTTAGGTGGCCAAACCATCTCATATGTTGTTCTTTAATAAATTGTATGACTGGTCTCAGTCCTAGTCTTCTTCTGATTTCTTCATTCTTGATTTTGTCTTTTCTTGTCACGCCAGTAGCTCTCCTAAGACATCTCATCTCTGTTGTTACGATCTTCCACTCGTTAGTTGTAGTAAGGGTCTATGTTTGGCACTGGTAACACAATGTCAGCCAAAAAACCTTGCATGCTTGAATGGTGGTTTCCCCTGGGACCCCCTGGGGGGGAAAAATGGGGGGGGGGAAGGGATGCCTAACAAGCTTGTCTTACAAGTCGACTGATTAAGCTTGTTGCCTTCAAAGACGGAGTACATCTGCCTGAGAGGCAAGGAGCCAGCGGTAAAATAAGCTTGTGTCAAATGGATGTGCGCGCAAAACTCAAGCGCTGGAACAACACCAAGGTCCAGAAGTTGAAGAAGAACCTGAACTTTCTGCTGGAGTTTACGCTGGTGAACTCTAAGATTGAAGAAGAACCTGAACTTTCTGTTGGAGTTTACAGCTGGTGAACTCTAAGATTGAAGAAGAACCTGAAATTTCTGTTGGACTTTTGTTGGTGAACTCTAAAATGAAGAAGAACCTGAACTTTCTGGTGGAGTTTACGCTGGTGAACTCTAAGATTGAAGAAGAACCTGAACTTTCTGGTGGAGTTTACAGCTGGTGAACTCTAAGATGAAGAAGAACCTGAACTTTCTGGTGGAGTTTACAGCTGGTGAACTCTAAGATGAAGAAGAACCTGAACTTTCTGGTGGAGTTTACAGCTGGTGAACTCTAAGATGAAGAAGAACCTGAACTTTCTGGTGGAGTTTACAGCTGGTGAACTCTAAGATGAAGAAGAACCTGAAATTTCTGGTGGACTTTACGCTTGTGAACTCAATGAAGAAGAAGAACCTGAACTGGTTCTCAAAGATGGAAGAACCTTAACTTTCTGGTGGAGTTTACAGCTGGTGAACTCTAAGCCTGAACTTTCTGGTGGAGTTTACAGCTGGTGAACTCAAAGATGAAGAAGAAAGAACCTGAACTTGTCTCTGCACTGAGGTTTACAGCTGGTGTCCAACTCTAAGATGAAGAAGAACCTGAGTTGGTTTCTGGTGGATCTTTACAGCTGGTGAACTCTAAGATGAAGAAGAACCTGAACTTTCTTGTTGATTTGTTTATACGCTTTGAGTAGGTGGCCACTCCAAGATATGAAAAGAAGTAGTGGCCACCTGAACTTTCTGGTGAGGTTACAGCTGGTATGAGACGTCATTGGGCACAGAATGTGTTTGAACTTTGTCGGTGTTAGCCTGTTTATGCTCAGTTTCAGATTTGAAGAAGAACCTGAACTTTCTGGTGGAGTTTACAGCTGGTGAACTCTAAGATGAAGAAGAACCTGAACCGTTCTGGTGGAGCCAACCCTTTACGAGATGCAGAACTCAATGAAAGAAGAAGAACCGGCCTGAACTTTCTGGTCAGTGAGTTTAGTAGCTGGTGAATCTCAAAGATGAAGAAGAACCTGAACTTTCTGGTGGAGTTTAAGTCTAGCTGGTGAAAACTCTAAGATCAGAAGAAGAACCTGACATTCTGGTTGGCATTTACAGCTGGGGAACTTATAAGATGATTAAGAACCTGAAATTTTATAGTGACTGCACGCTTGTGAACTCAGATGAAGACAGTCGCAAGGACACCTGGAAACTCTTCTGGGTTGAGTCTTGATTCGCTGGTATGAACTCAACTAGATGAAGAAGAATGATGAAAATTTCTGGTGGGCAGTTTCCACAGATTGGTTGAATATCAAGAAGATGGAGAAGAACCTAGAACTATGATTGCTGTATGTTTTAGTTAACAGATGAAGAAGAAGCAGAAGAATGGGTGACTCCACCAGTCAGATGTCGCCTCTGCACTGAAGGTTGGTTGCAGTGGGTGTCCAACACCTTCTACCTGCTTATTCACTGGAGCACACATTTGGTTCGTCTCTTGGTGTTATCTGACCTATATTGCTCCTACTTACTTCTTGCATGGTTGTCAGTTTGTATGAGTGGTTGTCTTGTATGAATGTTTGCCCATTTGTTGAGTAGGTGGCCATTTGTTCTCAGTGTCCATTTGGCCATTTGTTGAGTAGGTGGCTCATTGTGTTTTAGGTGGCCATAGTACTTCAGTCTAAGATCTCATTTCATTTTAGTAGGTGGCCATTTGTTGAGTAGGTGGCCATTTTAGCACATAGTACTTATCTGTCAAGGTGCCCATTTGTATGGTGGCCATTTCAGCACATAGTTGTCAGTGAGACGTCTCATTGTCATTTAGGCACATTTGTTCTTCTCATTGTGTTTTTGCAATGTTTGTCGGTGTTTGCCTGTTTTATGCAGGGTTTTCAGTTTCATATCTCCTACTTTATGTTGCATATACCTGTGGGTGTAACAGGAAATGGTAATGTTTGATTTTTTGTTTTGGGACCTCTCTCAGAATATGCAGAAATCTACCGCCTACCGTTTGAAGCAGAAGTGGGTCTACAGCCAACCCTAGAAGAGATGCAGACACTGGTGGTCACTCAGAAAGTCCGGCCAGCCATAAATCCGGCCTGGCACCAGCATCAGGTCAGTGACAGCAAACTAGTTCAGTAGACAGGTTGTCATCTTTCTGCCAGCTGAAGAGTTGTGTGTGTCATTAGTGAAGTAATGGGATCACTGACGAGGGCGATACAAGTCTAGCTTTTGAGAAACGTTGGTACTATCAGAGGCAGAGATGGAATCAGACATTGATTTTATTAGTATTGAGTCTAAATCTGTCATTTTATTTTATCCCTAGTATTGAGTCTAAGATCTCATTGTCATTTTAGAACATAGTACTGCAGCTAACATCTCATTGGTCCTTTTAGATAGACAGACAAACATCTCATTGTCATTTTAGGACACTCTTAAAACAGCTCTCAAATCTTTGGTATTAGTCTTGATTCGTCTTGTATGGGACACATACTAGATACAGGAGGGAGAATCTCATTGTCAAAGTTGAACATAGTGGGCAGTCTAACATCTCATTCCATTTTAGCATAGTATCAACTCTCATTGTCATATTAGAAAGATGGAGAGTCTAATCTATTGTCATTTTGATTGCCAGTAGTACTTGAGTCTAAGATAAATTGTCAAGAGGAAGAAGCTTGAGTCTAACATCTCATTTTGGACTGCACATAGTACTCCACCAACATCTCATTGTCATCTTTAGAAATAGTACTCAGTGAACAGCTTTGTCATGATAGTCCCTCAATCTAACAACTCTTTGGCTCTAATCTTCATGGGGATTCAGTTCAGCATTTTATTGACTCGGTCTACATCTCATTGACATCTTATCACCAAGAGTACTTTAGTCTAACATCTCATTGTCATTTTAGCACATAGTACTTCAATCTAACATCTCATTGTCATTTTAGAACATAGTACTTCAATCTAACATCTCATTGTCATTTTATTTTAGCACATAGTACTTCAGTCTAAGATCTCATTGTCATTTTTTTTTAGCACATAGTACTTCAATCTAACATCTCATTGTCATTTTATTTTAGCACATAGTACTTCAATCTAACATCTCATTGTCATTTTAGCACATAGTACTTGAGTCTAACATCTCATTGTCATTTTAGTGCATACTACTTCAGTCTAAGATCTCATTGTCATTTTAGTGCATAATACTTCAGTCTAAGATCTCATTGTCATTTTAGCACATAGTACTTCAGTCTAAGATCTCATTGTCATTTTAGCACATAGTACTTCAGTCTAAGATCTCATTGTCATTTTAGTTTAGCACATAGTACTTCAGTCTAAGATCTCATTGTCATTTTATTTTAGCACATAGTACTTCAGTCTAACATCTCATTGTCATTTTAGTGCACATAGTACTTCAGTCTAAGATCTCATTGTCATTTTAGCACATAGTACTTCAGTCTAAGATCTCATTGTCATTTTAGCACATAGTACTTCAGTCTAAGATCTCATTGTCATTTTAGAACATAGTACTTCAATCTAACATCTCATTGTCATTTTAGAACATAGTACTTCAGTCTAAGATCTCATTGTCATTTTAGCACATAGTACTTGAGTCTAACATCTCATTGTCATTTTAGCACATAGTACTTCAGTCTAACATCTCATTGTCATTTTAGCACATAGTACTTGAGTCTAAGATCTCATTGTCATTTTAGCACATAGTACTTCAGTCTAACATCTCATTGTCATTTTAGCACATAGTACTTGAGTCTAACATCTCATTGTCATTTTAGCACATAGTACTTCAATCTAACATCTCATTGTTTTAGCATTTTAGCTGACATCTCATTGTCATTTTAGTAGTACTTCAGTCTAACATCTCATTGTCATTTTAGCACATAGTACTTGAGTCTAACATCTCATTGACATTTTAGCACATAGTACTTCAGTCTAACATCTCATTGTCATTTTAGCACATAGTACTTCAGTCTAACATCTCATTGTCATTTTAGCACATAGTACTTGAGTCTAAGATCTCATTGTCATTTTAGCACATAGTACTTGAGGGTATAACATCTCATTGTCATTTTAGCACATAGTAATTTTTCAGACAAAAAGCATCATCATTGACATCTGATACCCATCAATTGTTTCCAGTATAGTCACACACATCAGGTATGGAAAAGTCACACACAAAGGTTTGTTTTCCATGTGACTAACAGGTTTGTATCCATAAGTCCCCAGACCAAATCTATAGACACACATCAGGTATTGTTTCCATCTACACACATGGTACACCTATTCATCTGAGGACAAGCAATGTTTTCAGACAAACAAGCCACACATCAGGTATTGTTTCCATCTATAGTCACACACATCAGGTATTGTTTCCATCTATAGTCAGTAGTTTGAGGGTTCATATAAAATCACATTTTGCAGCTAATGTCTACGCCTCTTGTATGTCTACAGGGACTGTGCAGCCTCATATCAACAGTTGAAGAATGCTGGGACCAGGATGCTGAGGCCCGCCTCTCAGCAGGGTGTGTCAATGAACGTATTCGACAGCTGGCCTGTACAGTCAACTCTGCGATCGGCAGACATCTCAATGGCCAAATCCTTCCAACAGCTGTATTGTCACTGCAGCTTCCTCAGATCAACATAACTTCCTCATGTGTGCCTAACTCCACTACCATCAACATGAGTGGGCCAAAGGACACATACTTTACTCTACCTAATGATCCCAGCTCTTGCTGAGAGTTTCACTCCAGGCATCCTGACAAGTACATGTTTATGGGTCAGTGTCAGGTGGCATGTTGGTCTTCCGGGTACCCAGGCTAGGGCATGTTTCACACTGGATGTGTTAATTCAAATGTGATGCTTTTGGGAAGGGCTGATGAATTCATTGTGTTCATAAAGTTCTGGAGAGGCCCAGATTTTGCAGCATTTTTTTTTCATGTCCAGACAACTTCCATTTGACTACGAATGTAATTGGATATGTCCAAATGATTTCCATTTGACTGAGAATATGATTGGAAAGTCTACATGGAACTGGCCAAGCTCTTTGTTAGCATGGCTTTGGACTGGCACATTTGCTGTTGGTATAAATGTGTTTATCTAGATTGTTACGAGCTCCATTCTGTGGAATCTAGTTCCTCCTGATGTCTGGAATGGAATATCTGCTCCATGTTAAAGGACGTATTCCAGTTGTAGACATCAGTCAGTTTCTGGGTTGGGATCTTCTGATCTGCAAATTTGTGAGAGGTGTGAGTCCTTTGGGTGGATTAACTGTTCAACTGTCCACACCTCTGTTCTGCAGTCCACAGTTGACATGCAATTGTTAAAGAAGACGGTCAACTGAGTTGGTTTGAGATGCAATAGTTGTAGTAAAAATAAACACATGGTTTGACATGCATTGTTAAAGTAGATAATATAAACAGTGAGCTGGTTTCCCATGGATTTGTAAAGTAGACAATAAATAGTGAGATTTTTTGACATGCAGTTGTTAAAGTAGATAGCAGTCAAGAAGATGGTTTGACCTGAAATTGTTAAATAGTAAACAGTGAGATGGTTTGACATGCAGTTGTTAGACAGTAAACGGGGAGATGGCTTGACATGCAGTGGCTATAGTAGATAATAAACAGATGGTTTGACATGCAGTTGTTAAAGTAAATAATATAAACAGTGAGATGGTTTCCCATGGATTTGTAAAGTAGACAATAAACAGTGAGATGGTTTCCCATGGATTTGTAGAGTAGACAATAAACAGTGAGATGGTTTCCTATGGATTTGTAGAGTAGACAATAAACAGTGAGATGGTTTCCCATGGATTTGTAAAGTAGACAATAAACAGTGAGATGGTTTGACATGGATTTGTAGAGTAGACAATAAACAGTGAGATGGTTTGACATGGATTTGTAGAGTAGACAATAAACAGTGAGATGGTTTCCCATGGATTTGTAGAGTAGACAGTACACCGTGAGGTGGCTTGGTGACAAATAATGAACTTCTATGAACACTGTGCAGCTAGATAGTGAGAGAGGGATTTGAGGAACTGTGGTTAGACATGAGGTGACTTTTTCAGATGCAACGCATCCTGTTGGGATTTAGAGCAAGTTGGTGGATGTCCAGGTTCGGTAACCTCAGTTACAACCTCAACCTGAGATGTCTGAGTCATGTTGTGAGACTGGTTCAATTGTGATGGACAGACTTTTGTGAAAGAATCAAATCCATTGTTACTTTACTCTGTCCCTCTAAATCACATACGAAGGATCTGGCACATCGGATCGACATGAAATTCACATAGCAGTCAGCATCTGAGTGTCTGCAACACAAGAATTATGTCTGTCTCTAGCCTCATAGTACTCTTTGGGTCACCAGGTTTTAGTTGTGTGTGTGCAGAACTTTCCATTTCTCGCAATCGGTTGTGCTGGATATTGTTGTATTTGAGGCCCTTCAGTTAGCCAGATTTTGAATCTAGAACTTCAGTTGGCCAGATTTTGAATCTAGAACTTCAGTTGGCCAGATTTTTAATCTAGAACTTCAGTTGGCCAGATTTTGAATCTAGAACTTCAGTTGGCCAGATTTTTAATTCAGAACTTCAGTTGGCCAGATTTTTAATCTAGAACTTCAGTTAGCCAGATTTTGAATCTAGAACTTCAGTTAGCCAGACTTTGAATCTAGAACTTCAATAAGCCAGATTTTGGATCCAAGTCTTTATTGCCTGCCTTATGGTAGAAAGCTTGTAGAAGAGTCAGAGGCAGCGTTCTGGTGGTTCTCCTAGAGTTTGAGGAAAAACTGAAGCATCTGGGAAGCAAGAAAAACATCATCATCTTCATGAGAATATCAGATTACAGAGACAATTGCAGAGTAATGTTATCAGTGTCTACACTTGATTAGCCACAAGAATGTGCACAACAGTGGTAGAGTTTATGACGAGATTGCACATCCGATGGTTTGGCCATGTCTCCTGGCAACCAAGAAACAATCAGTAGATGTTAGCTGTTGTTCCAGCTTCGTGCAGAAGAGTTGCCCAATAACTGCTGTGTTCCTGTCTCATTTGAAAACTAGTGAAAAAATGTCACGCTAAAAAAATCTTGAAGCTCCCATATGCAAAGTAAATGCATAAGGCAGCCGTCATTTGTGCCAACACTAACAGTTCTACACCAGAATTACAGCTCACCATTGATGCAGGCAGTCACAAAAGCCAGCCGCAGAATACTGCATCAGTACATGCCATTCCTAACATAATCAGCTATCCGCAGTTTTTAGTGTAGTTTACAGCACAAAGCCATTATGGGAACAACCGAAAAATATTCCACCTAAAATCCACAGCTCACATTGTGTTGTCGCACCAATCACCAAACTCAGTAGCTGGGAGTACTCTAGGTCCAGAAATGAGGAGTTTGCATCAGCAGACCTTGGCCAGACACGCATCACTTTTCAGAGCGTAAGCTGTAAACCAGTAATCTGCCATATAGTACTGGAACTACAAAGAAACAATTGAAAGTAATATAATTCAGTAATAAGGGGTAGACGAGCAGGAGACTGTTATTGTATAGTATAAACTGACAGCAAGCCTGGCACCTGAGAAGCACAAGACAAATTCATAAAAGTCAAGGAGAGTAAATCATCTTTAGCTTTTCTTCCACTGCGGAACGAACCCACCTGGAATGCGAATTCTATTTGCAGAAAAAAAAAAGTCGAAATAATTATGATACATAGCTAATTACATAGCTTAATGTCTAGAGACATTTGTTTTTGCTGACGCTTCCAAATTTGGCGAAAATGCAACACAGCAATATAATTTAAAAATTTACAACGCGCGTAGCCACTTCCTTATTAGGGGGGATGCTTCTCAATGTAAGATGCAACAGTTTGCCATGCTTTCAGCATTTCTCTTATTTCGCCAGAATATTGTTGCTTTTCTGTTACCTCCTCCGCCTCCTCTGACAAACTTTCCTCCAAAACTTCTTGCTGTGAAACACAATGCAACTCCATAAGCTCTTGAGTGGTCAGCTCTTGGCTGTGCTCTTTCACAAGTTCTTCGATATCACTGTTATCCACCTACAATCCCATGATAGTGGCCAAAGACACAATCTCGCTGACTACATGTTCCACAGGTACTGTCTCGAACCCCTCAAAGTCACAAATCGACAACGCTCTCAGGGCCAAAGCTTCTTCCAAGCAGAAGTTAGGGTTCTCTTGGTAACCCCTTCCCCCGCCTTGTCGATCATCTTGAGGCAGGCAACAATGTGAAAGTGATTTTTTTGTCCAAAACTCTTTGAGAGTGAATTTGGTCCCTTCAGTCAGCTGAAAACAAAGCTCGAAGAGTGATTTAGTGTAGAGCTTTTGAAAGTTAGAAATAACTTGCTGGTCCATGGGCTGGAGTAAAGGAGTGGTGTTGGGAGGCAGAAACTGGATCTTGATGAATTTAAATTCTTCAGGGAGGTCATCTTGTAGGCCTGGAGGATTCGTGTACATATAACACAATATAACACAAGATTGAGCATCTGCGTGATCACAAGCGACACTTCGATGCTACAGGAACGATTGCTAAACACAGACTGATGTAACATGCGCAACAATTCGGGACTTCCTCTCTCCTCGCCACTCGTCGCTCGCTAAGCGGGTCATTCTTTTACAATTTGTTTTGCTCGTTATGCGAATTACTCGTTATGAGAGGTGCTCGTTAAGCGAGGTTCTACTGTATTTAATTGTAGTTGCTTCTTTGTGGTCATCTCCTGTAAAATCCTCTTTACATATGAGAGTGTTTGTGTGAATATGCTCATTACGTATATTAGTGTCTCTTGTACGTACTTATACAAATCATTTAGCTGTGTATCTCTAAGGATATCCTGACTGTGTTCATAAGAATTACTTGCGTTCTTCATTGTATGCACACATACCTTGTTGTTTACGTGGGTGATCTATCATGTGTCACTGTATGTGAGTGTTGCACTTTCCTAAAGTCTCTGCTGTTTGGCGTTGGTATTCATGCCTGTCCAAAGTCTTCTGTCTTGCATACGTTCAGACATTCCTGATGAAGTTCCTCTGTACCATGATGCCAAACTGTTCCTGCATCCGCTCTGTTGGTCTCCTTCTGCCTTTCTTCCCTTCAACTTTCCCACTGACACACAGTACACCAGTGTTTACCTTCTCACAGGGCGGTCAAAGAATGTAGATTGTCTACTTCTAGCACTGTTAATCAGTTCTTCTCTTGCATTCAATTATGTGTAAATTGACATCCCTGGCTGCCCATGATTCACTTCCATACACCAGGATTGACCTGGCTAGGCTGTTAAACCTGGCAATACTAAAACATACATGTTATGGCCTCCTTTAGATCTCCCCCCCCCCCCCCCCCCCCCCCCAAGATAATTCTTTTGGGAAAAACCCATTACACATGTCACTTATAACTTGATTAAAATATATTTACGTTTTAAATTTCTTTCCACCGAAAAATACAAGGGGAACTATCAATAAACACAGACAGGGTGAAATTAAATGGAATACATTTCCTGGGGCCTTATAAAAAACAAGTGTCTGATACTCATGCTGTGACTGACCTCTATCACTTAGGCTTATGGGAAAGTTTAAATATTAGCTTGGCTTTAATGAAACCGTTTGGTTTGAAGAAAAAAAAACTCACTAAATGCTATTTTTATTTAGTATATTCAAATCATGACTTCCTAAATGTCTGTGCAGATGTGAAAGTTAGTAGCGTTAACTGTGCATCTCATAAATAGGTCACTGAA